TTCGATTGATCGACTGTTCGTTCAAACGGACAGAGCATTACGCGAAAGTGTTCCTAATTCCTGAAAAAACGAAGCAATCGCGGTTGTCATGGCCAACTTCAACTGGGTGTCCCGTTTGCTGGGGTGGGATAGGCATCCACGCCATCATCACGACTTCCACTCGGACTGGATCCGCGATGACCGAAGACGCCGTACGTACTCCTGCTAATCGACCCCCCTCTTCATTTGGAACGCCTGGCTTTACCAATTCCAGCCGCGTTGTCCTTCGGCACGCCATGGAACCCCCTCAATCAGTTTCAACAGCTTACACTTGGGCCTGTTGCCCCCATCTAGTCCTGCCGCAATATCGAAGCGAGCATCTCGAGTCCGCGATCCCTGCCCCCGAAGTAACAAAGATTGCCCTCAAGCTTCGACACCTGATTGAGCTGGCAGTCCCCTGCGAATTGGACGAAGTCGAGATCACAAAGGCGCATAGCAAGATCATCACGACCAAGGTCGTCAAGGCCGCCAAGGAAGCTGGCGGCTCGCACTACGGATCATGTGTTGTCTTCTGCTTAATTGTCTGCAAGAGATGGTTCAAGCACCAGGCCTTGGCTGAGCTCTGGGACGCCGACCTACACAGAGTGCGCGCCGTCGCCTGTGAGGTTATTGCGAAGCAGATGTATGTACTTCTAACGCCACTGTCCAGAGAAGACACCCAGGAAACTAACAGCTGTATACAGCATCGAAACCGAAGACGACCTTCAATACCTAATGCAATCCGTTCTCCTCCGCCGATACTCTGTAGTTGTGGACGGCGAATCCACACCGCCCGCGAACGCTATCGAAAAGGCCGTCGATCTCCACGCCGTCAGAGTCATTGGCTCTTCGGGATACCAAAAATGCATTTCATACTTGTGGAAGGGATGGCTGGTCCAGGACGAAGATGACCCTGCAGTATTCGTCGACTACAAGGACAAGACGAATCCGTCCTTCCTCGTGCACATGGATCCCGACCGTATCCGTGCTCCCATGTACCAGAATGCCACTCAGGTGCTCATTTCCCTCATCTACATTGGTCTCTACACTGCCGTCATCAACTCGGTCAACGCCAAGGGTGTTTTGGACGCGGCTGAGGTGTTGTTGTACATCTTCACCCTCGGCTTTATCTGCGAGGAGGTCACCAAGTTCTGGAAGGCTGGCTACCACATTCTGGGTTTCTGGAACGCATTCAATGGCGTTCTCTACACCTTCATCACGCTATCCCTGATTCTTCGCATAATCGGCCTTACCCACGACGAGGGTGAACCCGCGCGGAAAATGTACAGTGAACTGAGCTACAACCTCTTGGCTTTCAGCGCACCCATGATTTGGTCTCGCCTTTTGCTTTATCTCGACAGCTTCCGCTTCTTTGGAGCTATGCTTGTCGTGCTAAAGGTCATGATGAAGGAATCAATCATCTTCTTCGCCCTGCTTGCTGTGTTGATCATTGGATTCCTCCAGGCCTTTATTGGTCTCGACTTGGCAGACGACTTGGTGGCTGATGATATAACATTCATCATGTCAGCCATGGCTAACGCCATCATGCAGAGCCCCGACTTTGACGGATTCGACAGGTTCTCGCCGCCGTTCGGTATCATCCTATACTACTGCTTCACGTTCATTGTCATGGTAAGTCGTGGTCCTATGAGAAGATGGGACCAGTTGCTGATTTGGATCGCAGGTCGTTTTGCTTAACATCCTCATTGCGCTGTACAACTCCGCATACGAAGACATTTACGACAACGCCAACGACGAGTATCTCGCGCTGTTTGCCCAGAAGACGATGCAATTCGTCCGTGCCCCCGACGAAAACGTCTACATCCCGCCATTCAACCTCATTGAGATGATTGTCATTTGCCTCTTCTGGTGGATGGAGAAATCCAAGTTCGAGAAGATGAGCGACGTTATCATGGGAATCCTCTACTCGCCGGTCCTAGTTGTCGCCGCAATCTTCGAGACTCGCTCAGCCGCCGACATCAGGAGCAACCGAGCGAGAGGTGAGGAAGACGACGACACAATCGAGGAGTGGGAGCAGATGATGGACCAGGTCGACTTCGAATCCGATGGATGGAACAAGGTCTGCGCAAGCGCCAAGACCAACTTGGAGCACGATCCTACGATCTACGAGGTCCAGCAGTTGCGAAGCGAAGTTGAAGAGCTCAAGAAAATGTTGGTCGAGATCTCCAAGGCCGTTTCGGCTGGAAATGCCGGTAATGGTCAGGCTTCGACCAACTTGATTGATCTGGGAGAGCCAGCCGAGAGCTCCTCCAGCAAGAAGAAGAATAAGAAGAAGGGCAAGAAGAACAAGAAGGAGAAGAAGGCAGGGGATGACGCCAAAGAAGGAGCAGCGGCAGCGTCCTCCAGCTCGAGCGATGAAGAGTGAAGAGCTTTCATCTGATGATTCTGGCAGTGCTGGGACCCTGCGCCGTGTGTTTTATTGAATTGAGTTTGTACATGTTATGGCTGTCACGTCATGTCACGCTGTTACGAGCTTGTTTTGTTTCGATTTCGGGAACCATGGTTACTGGTAGCTGGCAACTTGGGATACGAGTCAGGGAGATATTGGCGTCGGACATCAGTCATGGTTTGTAATAAGGCGAGGCATCGTGTTGAATAAGGCAAATCCAATTACCAATTTCGACGACTCCAGTGGAAACGCGCACTAGACAGGTTAGATTGTGTGAGCAATGGCAACACTTGGGAAGCGATTGAAACTCCGTGACCGGCTCCGGTGCGATGGTTCAGCCGAGAACTTGTAGCTCGACATGCAGAAGGGCCCCATTATCGTCACTTGGCGGTCATTTTTCTGCATCGACTACATGTACGAGGCACAAGTGCAAGCGCTTGGGGGAGTGAGTTGTCCCGGTTGCCGGCTCGGGTGCTAGGCGAGGGTGGCTGTGGTGCAGAGAAAAATGCGGAGGAGATGGGAGTTTTTGTTGACCCGCCTGCAGAAGAACACTAGGAGAACCTTATTTTTGGGTGCTTGGGATGGGATGAGTCTTCTTTTGACCTCCCCAGCTGGGAATAACGGCGTGGGGAAAGCTGACTTGGAGTTGGCTCTAAACAGGGGCTTGGGCTTGTGTCGTTTATGGGTGCGTAGCTTGATGGGCTTCTGGTTTATGGATCACAATCGAGACTGGAATTCACTTCTTCTCCTTTTCATAATTCATCCCCTCTCATATGGTATGATAGTAGTCAAGTTATCTTCCTCAATCCCGAAAGATGAACCCCTGGATGAGAACAAGGAGGGGGAGAGTGAAGGGCTGGGACGAGCGGCATCTTCAAGCTCAAGACGTTTTAAACTTTTGCGGCGCCAACAGAGCCTAAGACGGGCCCCGGTCCAATCATCACCCCGGATGATGGTCGCGACAGGGTTATGCTGCCACCCCAACTCTGGGAATGGAACGCTCGGCACTCGAAGCGAGAAACGCCAAACGTTGTTCTGGGGAGGCCACTAATATGCTAGTGTGTACCCACTGGGTACTTTGTTAGAATTGGATACTAGAGACTTGAGGTAGATACATGGAAGGGGGAGAAAGTGAAAGGGGATTAAGCTTGCCGTACCTACCGGTAATCCTTGGACGACCACAACTCCCCTCCTATCATCCAAGATCCCCCTGTTTCTGTTTGGGATGAACGAGGTTTGGCCATTGTTTCTGGTCTGGCTTGGTTGTAGACGTGAATGGTTGGTTCGGTCGAGGGGGCTGCTTACTGGCTGACCAGCGACCAGCTTTCCTAGGCGGAACACGGCTTTAGCGGCTACTTATGGGGGCTGAAAATGATACAATCCTGTGGTGTCTTTTGTCAACATTTTTGCACGTTGGATGAGGTACTGCTCCCTGGCGCTTACACCACAGCGGGCCTGGGGGTCACGACTATTCGAAACATGATCCGAACATTGGCGCGGGAAGGACGGGACATGTACAGCGGCTGTGTTGGATCCCGGTAGACAGTCATTTTTCTTTTTGCTGTATGGCTACAGCAGAACCAGTTGGGCACATACTGAGACTTGCTGTCATCCAATCCGTGGAAGGCCTCGTTGGCTTGTCATGCTAAACTTGGAGGCGTCCTTGTCCGCCTCCGTGAGGACCCCATACTATTGTCCTAATTTAGGTCGAATTTGGCTTAGGGTCAACTCTTCTAGACCATGTAGGTTGGTAATGTCGCTGATGCCGCGGCCACTGTCAGCCCAAAAGAAGACAAGAAAAAAAGCTTGGACTCGAAATAGACTTATTCGCATTCAGACGAGGGACCTCTCCTCTCTCATCTTCCGTACCATGCCCACCTCCCCCAGGATCAGCATGCGTCAGGAAAATGCTTGGCCTGCACGCTTGTTCGTATTTGTTCCCACAACCACTCCCCTGATCCCTGGCCCTTGGCTCTGGCTCTCTGACTGCTGCCACCTCGGACGTCAGATACACCCGGCCGGCTAGGGCGCGGGTTTGGGGATGGAGACCATGCCACCATGGAAACTATCCCATCCGCGAGGCGGAGCTTAATTGTGATTACCTTACGCTACTTGAGGGGCTACCGCCTAGCCGAATTTTGTTTCTTCTCGTCTTGGTAGGTAAGTCGAGGTGGGGGTCTGGTGCCCAAGGGTCAATTTGCTTCCGAGACGGACTTGCTGAAGGAGGCCGCCGCCACATGGTTTGGGGACCAAGGCTTGGGAGTGATGGGATCAAACGTGGATGGTGCCTGAGGGAGGTGGAGGGGTGTAGGCTTGAGGATGGAGGCTTGGGATGTTCCAAGGGGTGTCAACCGTTTGAGGGTGGTGTTTAGTGTTGTTTCTTGGGGATCTATCATCTCGAGCTGAAGGCTGCAAGAGGATCTACGTGTATAAGAAGACATCTTCCCTCCCGTGAGATTTAATTTTTGCTCATCATCAAACCAAAAAAGTCTTCACACGATACATCAGCACGCATCAACGACTCTATTCGACACCACCTTTTCCATTTCACAACCTTACAAACACACTCAAAATGCATACATCAACCCTCCTCGCAACCCTCCTCCCCGCCGCAGGAGCCTTCGCTCAATACGGCTACGGCGCACAAGAATCCTCCACAAACACCGCCACCGCCGCCGCCTCCTCCTCCTCCAGCATTGCCGGCGTCCACGTCGTCAAGGTCGGCGACGGCGGCCTCACCTTTGAGCCCAACAGCATCACCGCCGCCGTCGGCGAGGTCGTCGAGTTCCACTTTTACCCCCGCGCCCACTCCGTCGCTCAGTCGGCCTTTGACTCGCCTTGCCAACCGCTGACCAACGGATCCACGACGGGCTTCTTCAGCGGTCCGGTTCAGGTTGCGTCTGGTGTTGGGTCGGAGGTGTTCACTGTTGAGGTCAAGGATACGAATCCCAAGTGGTTTTAAGTCAACATACCCACTTCCTGGCACCCCCCTGTTTCTGGCACCCACAAAAACGCGAAAATCCACCACAACCCAATGCCCACCCCCAACCTCCTTTTATCACAACATTTTCAATTCGCGTCCAAATGGGCTCATCTTTTGCACATGTCCTCTTCTATA